TTTAGATTTTCACCTGTAAAAACTTCAAATTAAACCAAAAATCAGCCTAAAACTCTACCTATTTACTACATCAAAATGCAAGAGGAGTTTCCAACCAATTATAACCTCAATATCTCATCTCAACTGATCAAAACAGGTAACAATGAATAAGTATTTAGAGCAATACTTTTCCAACTCAATTTATACACATTTAATTCAGTTTCAAGCGTCCGTACTACTATATAATACTACTTAACACCCTACCAAATCAATTTTCATTCCAATTAGANCGACATAACCACCCCTCTCTACTTGAGGTTGGATGATTATTGGAATACTAGGATCATCCTCCATTTCGAAACCCCTACAACAATACATTACACTAAAGCACAACACTAAGATTTTTCCCATGAAATTTCTTTCACCACATACTTACACTGAATACACATCCATTATTACCATTAATAGGGCATTTATAAGTATCAATAACTATACATATCATCATAATAACTAGCTTAAAAACAAACAAGAAATTAAAAACCAGGGAAACAACATAAAAGGCCAAAAACAAGGCTCTCAACGAGCCACGTTGCTCGCCTAACGAGAGGACCTCTTGCCCAACAAATTAAGGGAAATAGAGGTGCAAATTTGCAGTGGAAAAGTGATGCTTAGTGTCCAATTCCACCGTTCAATGCCCAAAAGTCATAGAGTTCACTGATTTCGTGGCGCTCAGCACCCATGTGACTCTTAATGTATTGAAACCAGTAGCTCTCGAGTTTTGCAGCGTTCAACGTCAAATAGGGCCGCTCAACGCTATATCAGATGACAACAACTTGATTTTCTGATTTGGTTGCACCCTAAACCTATCCAAATGACCAATATCCTTAACACATGAATTGATTCAAAAACATGTTTATAACTGAAATTGAGTACTAATTTAATTAATTGGTCAGTAATGAGATCCACTAAATCAAACCAACAATTCAAATTCTACATGTTACAAAACATATTTTAGTGATTTAAGTGGTTAATCAAGTCACAAATGACTCAAAAATATATCCTAAACATTCAGTTTCTTCCCAAACCAACTCTTTTAGATTTTCACCTGTAAAAACTTCAAATTAAACCAAAAATCAGCCTAAAACTCTACCTATTTACTACATCAAAATGCAAGAGGAGTTTCCAACCAATTATAACCTCAATATCTCATCTCAACTGATCAAAACAGGTAACAATGAATAAGTATTTAGAGCAATACTTTTCCAACTCAATTTATACACATTTAATTCAGTTTCAAGCGTCCGTACTACTATATAATACTACTTAACACCCTACCAAATCAATTTTCATTCCAATTAGAGCACCTCAAGACAAATTATCAAACTTAACAAGACTTTGAAAACAAACATTTAGCTTCCCTTACGTGATAAAAGCTAAAATAGCTCGAAAGGATCTAAAACCGCTTCTCCAACTTAAAGAGCTCTATTTACACTTACAAAAAAAAATATGATTAAGGTACATTTTGATGAAAACCCATCTAGGGAGCTTGATAGAAAACTATCCAAGGAGCCATAACTTGAACCAGATTAGGAGAATGGAAGAATAAGAAGGGTTTCAAGGACTTCTAATCTTAAGGAGATGGTGTGTTAATCTTTTTTTTTTCCTTCTTTATATTTTGGCCAAGGACTTACCTATCAATGTAGCTTAGTAAACATAGACGATTTTGAAGATTCACTACATGTAGCTTAGAGGTCCAGAAAATACATGTTTATAGTCAAATGAAAACCCTTTGAGTATACTTTCTAACAAAGAATCAATAAGCTCACTTGGAGTTCTATGGAGAAAGTTATGAATCAAACAATTAACAAAGGTCAAAGTGATGTTTTCAATTGGGTTAGTATTGGGCTTCTAGCATCTTTTGGGCCTTGGAAAGATAAAGAGCGTCCCTTTTAGCTTGTTAAGAACATTCTAGAATTTGAAGGAATATCCCATGTATCCCTTTGGATGAATTCAAAGGGAGAAGGCTCTCATGCATCTCCCTTGAACAGTTTCAAAGGAAGAAGACTCTCGTTCACCTCCCTCGTTCATCTCCCTTAGATAATTGAAAATTTCAAAAAGAAATCTAGTTCAATGTACTTTCCTTCCTCTTAAGAGTTCTTATTTTTGTTGAAAGAAAAGTTCTACCTCTGTAAACATATCTTAAAAATAAATGTTAATGAAACTTTGTGAAATTATAATCTTACTTTCTCTAAAATCATTTAGGTTATCTTATTATAAGACTCTTCCTAAATTTTTTTTTGTAAGGTTGACCAAACCTCCTTTAAGTTCTTCAGATCACACTTGCTTCATTAATCAAATCTTTCCCATGTTACTCTGTAACTTCTCATCAATTTTTTAAAAAAGATTCCATTGTCCAAATCTTACTTTCTTTAAAGATCTTAAAAAATATAAATTCCTTTATTAAAATAGATATATTCTTAATTTTTTTTTATTAAATGTATACCATATACATTCAATCTAATAGATCACTCTAAAAGAACAAAAGTTAAACTAGTTTAATATTATTATTGTATCTTGTTTTTTTATCATGAAATAAATGTAATATTAGTAAATAAATCTCATTCTCTCATAGTGTAAAGATTGAAAACAAATTACCAACACACTACTGATTCGGGTGAGAAGACCAAGTAATAGATCACAACATTTTTAAAGTATTTTTTAATACTTCCATTAAAAACTGAGTATATTCTATATTGTTCATTTTATTAATTAATATTAATTAATGAGAGTTTCATAAATACTATACACGAACTAACTTGAGATGAATTGAAATATTTAGTTTTAAACAGAAGTAAAACAGTGAGTTGGTTTACTTAAAAAAAATCATCTTACACTTTTTAAATTTTTTATTCAAATATATTTAGTATATATATATATATATATATTATATGTATATATATATATTATATGTATATATATTATA